TCGTGGTGATTTAGGGTCAAAAATGCATTTGAATTTGGGGTATGGGTATACATGCAAGGGTAAGGGGTAAGGGGTAAGGGGTAAGGGGTAAGGGGTTTGGGGGTAAGGGATAAGGGGTAAAAGACAAGGGGTAAGCGGCAGGAACTTGGAGCAATGGTTGTCATCTTCTGTACGCTATTTCCATGACAAACATTTTAATGTTACCCACATCCATCCGCATGTAATCACAATATCCAGCAGCAGGTTCATACTACTCGCGAGCCACTGTGTCCAAAGCCATTCGACGACGTATTGCGGGTATGTCATCAGCGGTGAAAGAGAAAGGCGGAAGGTGACCCCTTGCCAATAGCGATGCGTACGCGAGCATGAAGACCCCACACGAGCTAGTGTCACGTTGTTTCGGGACGCCCTCTACGGTCCATATATGATTAAACGGTTTCGTGTCCACCTCTTTGCCTTGCTGAATCGACCTTTTAAACAAAAACTTTGCAAATCCGCCGGTCACTTTGGCTGCCAGTTCTTTGTCGGGGTTGAGGGAGTCATAAAATTCAAATTTCCTCCTCCTGAAGTCCATGTCACTTATTATAATGTCATTCGACCAGTGCTGCACCTCTCGCTCTTGATATCTCATTTCGCTGTCGAAAAGTCTGGCGAAGAAAAACGAGCTCAGCACTGATATTCTAGGAATGCGACCCTTTCCGATTCTAATCACGGTTTCGTTCTCGGCGTCGCATTCTACGTGTGTGATTCTACACCAGTTGTCTAGTTCGATGAGGTTCAGGTAGAAGTTGACGACGTTGTCATTTAACCAGTTCCGCTCGTCGACTAGTAAAATAAATTTGTCTCGAGTTAGCTTCAATACTTCGTTCGTCCCATGATTGTGTGTGCTCGCTATTGGGAACCTTTTCCCGTACTCCCGACATACATGTGAGAGTGTTTTCATCTCCTTCTCTAATAAAGACGATGTTGCGAGGCGCATTGTCCACCCTCTTTTGTACTTTCTTGTATCCGTTGTTGTAATTTGCACTGCACACGACAACCGCGACGAATACGACATCGACGGCGGTGAACAACGGTGACCGAGGCGGACAGGGGTGTAAAAAATGGTCGCCCTTACAGGAAAGTAAGAAACGAGTGGGCAGGCGGTATAAAAAACGGGGAGGGTGACCATTTGAGATACTTGTACATGGGCAAGTGCCTTAGCATAACATGCTAAACGAAAATGATGTATTCAAGATACGTCATCAATGTTTCGCTAAACTTACACTTAGATGAACGACAACACTTCGGGACCAATCAATCCTGACTTCTGCCCCCTTTCATCACCATACCCCAAAGACATACATGCATATACACAACGCAGCATATTGACGAATATATAGAGACACACACGCATACTGAGACACACTCTTGTTCACCACACAATTTTCTTATCAACAATTAAAAGGTCAAATCCTGGAAATTGAACACTAATGAGTCTGCAGGTCGATTGTACACAGAAACAAATTCCGTCCACAAACCCAGATTTCAAACAAATGAGCACACACACAAAAACATTAAATTTCCCCGTGAAGACGATTCCCCTCAAGTTCATTCTCTGTCTCATCCCTCATTTTCTGCACGCGTGGGATCGCTCACGCCCTTTCCGCCTTCTACCCCATCCTCATCGTTCGTCGTCATGTCCTCAATATTGCGAGAACGTGAAGACCCCCCTGCATTTCCCCAATTCCCGTCATCCCCTGTGACCCCTCTTTGTGGTGTTGTTGTACAGTGTGTGTCACCTTTGCTAGAGCATGTGGGCGGATGCAACGACATCCCCGTGATGCCCATCCTAGCAGTGGACTCTGACACCATCTCCGATGTGCCTGCTAGCGCCGCCCCTGTCGCAAGGAGACTCCCGTATTTGGAGCCCGCATCCGCCGACTTCTCGAGTGACACTTTTTCACCTCGTGATATATCCCGCGTTGCGACAGAGATGGCTCCGATGGTGTTTTTGTCTGCGGGCGTGTTCCCCGCCTCTGGCAACGGAGGCTTCACGCCCAACGTCGTCCCGCCATCTTCCCTTTGTTCACCCATCGTGTTCCCTGTGGCCGCCTCGGGCACAGGGGCGGCATCTTCTCGGGAGTCCACGTCCATGCTCTCGAGCGCGGCGGCGCGCTCAACCTTCCAGTCAATCTTGCCRTACGAGGGGCTCGACTGCAGCTCGTAAAACTTGTGTGAGTACTCTAACTGCCGAGTGGCTCCCAAGGCGTCGAACAATTGTTTCGCCTTTGCCGCGATGGATGTTTCACTCTCCCCGGGGTTCTCTTTCYGACAGCGGTATAGTATTGATTGCTCCGTCGTCTTCAGCCARCTGTCCTTTCCCATGCGGGVAAAYGGTCTCCAACCCTTCGAGACATACTTCACCGCCATTTTYCACTCCCCGCCTTGGATACATGGCTCGAAAATGCCGTCATGCCAAATGATATCATGGCCCCACTTGTCCTCACTAGTGCAGGCGTATTTGTCATCSAAGAAATACACATTGTTTGSATCCGCACAAAATCTGGGAGGAATCGGATCGCCTGGCGCCAGCTTCGTTGGCTGAGCAGGAATATCAAGGTCATCGTCTTCGTCGTCTTCCACAGGCGTACATACAACCCGGTCCACACTTAAGGCCACACTGTTCGCGGGTGGCAGGTTCGAGCATCCCTCTGATTGACCCGGTCCATATCCCTTGACGCTGTGCTCCATGGCAACGGACTTCCCACACCACCCTGGTGCATTGGTGTCCTTTTCGATCTCGAGGTCGAAGTCCGACGAGTCTTCCTCGCTGTCAACGGGGTTAAAGCCTTCACCCGATTTAGCGAGGTCTGCATAGTCCTTAAACGTCAGTTTATCTTTGTGAAGATCAAACCTCAAGATCTCGCATCGAGCAACGAATGTCTCGAAGGCGCCAGTTAGAGCACCGTGATAATGTTTGAGGGCCTCGGTCACCTTGGCTTTCCTATATATGTATCCCCCATCAAGGTGTCCATCCGGCGCATCGCGGAACAGGTATTCCCACACCTTCAGTCTTTTCGGTCCCAACTTGTGGTACATATCCCTGTTCGTGCGATGATGTGTGGCACGCGGCTTCTCGAGGCGGCACTCGATTCTCCCATCCTTAACAAGTATGTCGACGAACTTTGTCAAGTATGCAATGTCCTTGGCCGACTCATCACAGGCAATGACATTATTACCTGCAAACAAGAACTTTCATACAAGACCCGCGTGAATATGCGGCACTTTCGTCGCCTTCGACGCCACAGTGTTTTCCGAGACACTTCCTGAACTTTTCCTCCACAACATGCACTTCAGTGAGATCGTTGTGAAGTCGGGGTGCGACAGTTACTTTTTTCATATCCCCTCCTTAGCGTGCAGCACGATCGCCATCAGATCCCGACTGCTCGTAGCGATGTTGTCGTACCTTGTGACGTTGCTCGGCGGCCTATCCACGCATTTCCATGACCCGGGGATGAGCTCGATGTCCTCCCAACGGTACAATTGACCACGGTATGATGAGCTCGTAGCGATGTTGCCGTACCTTGTGACGTCGCTTGGCAACAATTACCTTTACGAGGTCCCACCCCCTCCATGCCCGCAGCACCAAGGGGGTCCGGCATTCCCGGAAAGCCGGACCCCTTCGGTGCCACGGGGGATGAAGCGGGTCCGTCCCACCCCCTCGTTCTCGGAACGCTGGACCCCCCCTGGTCCTGCGGGGGAGGGAGGGGGTCCGTCCCACCCCCTCGATGCCCGCAGCACCAAGGGGGTCCGGCGTTCCCGGAACGCCGGACCGCCTGGGTGCTGCGGGGGAAGGAGCGCGGTCTGTCCCACCCCCTTGGTGCCCGCAGCGCCAAGGGGGTCCGGCGTTCCCGAAACACCGGACCCCCTAGGTGCTGCGGGGGAGTAGGGGGTCCGTCCCAACCCCTCGATGCCCGCACCGCCAAGGGGGTCCGGCGTTCCCGGAATGTCGGACCCCTTTGGTGCTGTGGGGGATGAAGCGGGTCCGTCCCACCCCCTCGATGCCCGCAGCAGCAAGGGGGAACGCCGGACCCCTTTGGTGCTGCGGGGGGATGAAGAGGGTCCGTCCCCCGCAGGACCAGGGGCATCGAGGGGGTGGGACATACCGCCTCCTGCGGGATGAAGCGGGTCCGTCCCACCCCCCTGGTCCTGCGGGGGAGGGAGGGGGTTCGTCCCGCCCCCTCGGATGCCCGCAGCACCAAGGGGGTCCGGCGTTCTTGGAACGCCGGACCCTCTAGGTGCTGCGGGGGAGGAGGTGGTCCGTCCCACCCCCTCGGTGGCCACAACACCTGGGTGCTGCGGGGGAGGAAAGTGGCCCGTCCCGCACCCTTGATGGCCACAGCACCTTGATGTTGTGAGGGAGGAATGGGGTCCGTCCCGCCCCCTCGATGGCCACAGCACCAAGGGGTTCCGGCGTTCCCGGAACGCTGGACCCCCTTCGTGCTGCGGGGGAGGAAGGGGGTCCGTCCCGCCCCCCTCGATGGCCACAGCACCAAGGGGTTCCGGCTTTCCCGTCCCAATCCATCGCTGGCCTGGAACAACGAGAGGGGTCGGCGTTCCCGGAATGCCGGACCCCCCTTCGTGATGCGGAGAGGGAGGGGTTCTGTCCTGCCACCTCCCTCTCTCCCTCTCTCTCTCTCTCTCTCTCTCTCTCTCTCTCTCTCTCTCTCTCTCTCTCTCTCGTTGGCGCGTTCCGGCGTTCTAGGTCCACAGGTCCCTCTGAACCGGATCAGTGGACCGGACTTCCTAAGATGGGTAGTGAGGGGGGACCGGCTTCCCTTCTCATGTGTCTTTCTGTTCTTGATTTTTTTGTTATGTTGTGTCCTCTCACAGGCCGTTCCCATCTATGTTAGCAATTCAATGGCGGGCGGGATGGACATTTGTTGCTATAGTTCGCTTCCATCTGTGCAGTCTTTTCACACCCCCGTGCCCGATGCTCCTGAGAACTCCTGCGAGAGTCGGTCCCCAGACATTGTCGTCACACCATCGAAACATGGGCATCGTGCACACCGTGTTGCTGTATGCCCGGACGCCAATTTAGAGACCGGGCTGTGCCATCTGCCAATGTCAACGTCGTGCGGCGTCTTCGTCTTGACGACATCATTAACGACGTCAACGTCTTGCCTTCTGATGACGGTGCAGGACCGGCGTGTGGGTCTCCTGATCCTTCGCTTCGGGGTCATTCGCCACCGGCAACTCGCACTGACGATCGTTATGTCCCGGTGGGCATGCTTTCGTTGTCGTCGTGCGAAGGCAGTGAAGGGGGGGGGGGTCGTGCTTCTCGTTCGTCGGACGTCGACTTGCCAGTCGGAGAAGACACCGCGATATTTGCCTTGTCTATGTTGTGCGGTGAAAAAGGAAAGAGAAAATACATATACAGACTCAGAAAAAGAAGTTTTTCGGCATCCACCTCCACTTTCGAACGTAGATGTAGTGTCAACGAGTGCGAGGCCGTCCTCCGCAAAACATGTTGCAAGACGTTTCGCTGTCTTTCTAAACTTAGAGTGCAGGACGTTATGAAATGTAGACGTGACTACCATGTTCTCAGAGGGCAGGAAAGACGGAAGTGGTGGATGGCGAAACTACAGAATTTTATTTCATTAGTTGATCATAAGCCCACAGTCAAATCGATAGTGGAGTTGCACCCTGTTTACGTCACTGCATGGTGTCTCATACTCCGCGTCGGTAGAAACACATACAAAAGATACATCAATGACCTCGATGACGGAACCGTTGACGCTGTTCACGGCCATGAAGGTCGTCCGCGGACAACGGCGGCCTACGCCATTACATGGTCAGCGTTCGAGGATATCATATTGGACGAGTCTGATCCCATGCCAGATCAGACTGAGACAGGCCCGAACTTCGAGATCAGCAACCGCATTCGACTCCCGTCGGTGTTCGCCACAAAGGAAGACGTCTTCCTCAGTATTCGTAGACGACTCTCTAAGCTTGGACTCGGTTGCGCGTCGTACCAGGTCTTCTGCAAGATGTGGAGGGACTTCTTCTGGCACGTTCGTCTCGCAAGGGTGACCGACCACGCGAGATGCAACGAGTGCATTAAGAATAGCATCCTCATAGAGGGTGCTCTGCCCGAGCCGAGAAGGGCATTTGTCGCAAAATAGAAAAGTCAGCTTGCGCTACAGTCGGCACACCGGAAACAGTACAGTGTGTGGTCCGCTGATTCAGAGCTCAGGCCGAAAGAGAATCTGTGTATCATCATCGATAGAATGGATCAAGCGAAAACAACGATACCCCACCCATCGAGAAGACGTTTGTCGAAAGAAATGTCGAATAACACGATGATGAAGACAAATCTTACTGGGATAATCGCGCACGGTAGGACACCATCGCTCATTGTCCACACGTGGTTCCCGTACCTTTCTCACGGCTCAAACTCGGTTGTCACCTCGATTGTCAAAGTGTTGAGAGATGTTCAGGCACGCGAGGGGGCGCTCCCGCCGAAGTTCGGGTGCAGGTCGACAACTGTGGGGGACAAAACAAAAACAAGTATGTGTTCACCTTCATGGCCATGCTAGTCAAATTTCGTATATTCGAGGTCATCGAAATGGGGTTCATGATAGTGGGTCACACACACACGGACATAGATGCGAGGTTCAGCTTGTTTGCAAAAAAGTTGAGCGGTTGCGATACGTATACTATGGATGAGCTCTTCGATGTCCTCAAAGCGTCATGCGAAGAGGAAGTCGATTGCACATTGCTCACTGAAATTGCTGACTGGAAAACCGCCATAGATCCATACATCGACCATAAAATCAAGGGTCANGAAATTGCTGACTGGAAAACCGCCATAGATCCATACATCGACCATAAAATCAAGGGTCATGCCACGCCACACCTCTTTCGATTTTACATGGATGGGGACAACCCCGCCATGATGTACAAGGAGTTCTGCACTGACAAAAAGTGGGAGTCGGACACTGACCCTGTGTATTGGTTTGTAAGGGACGCAAACAACGGGTGGGCAAGGCCTCAATGAGATTTTCAGCCTTGCCGTGAGTCGCCTAATCCACTGGCAGGCGATTTCGTTAACAGGATGGCGGGGGTACGTGTTCTTCATAAATCGTGGGAGAATACACAAAACCAATGGGTGACACAAGACGAACACACAAGAATGATGAAACGTAGACGCTTGAGCTATTGGACCGACCATCTCAAAAAGTTTGAAAACATATCGCAAGAGTAGAGCGGCACGGTGCCCCTTCAAGGTGCCTTTTGGCCAGCCCCCATGCCCGAGAAACAAGATCTCCCGTTACGTGCGCCGCATGTTCTCGACTCACCACCGAGGAAACCTTGCTTCGTCGGTTACAAAAAAGACGCTCCCAAGCCGGAGTTCAAACCGCACGAGTCTGTCGCCGTGAACAACTTCGTCGTGTTCCGAGCGCCCGACGAGTATGTTGCAAAGGGCTACACATTCTGGATTGGACGAGTTCAGGAGCGGGACGATAATCGCATCCGTGTCAAGTACTGGACTCCTTGCGGAAGGGAGCGCAATTTGACAAAGCTGTATGCGGGCGAATAAGCAAAGTCATGGAAGGTCGAAATTGAAACAAACGACGGCTGGTAAGACCTCGACGCCGTTGTGTGGGCATGGTCCAGCAATAAACGTTCTGAAACGGGTATGCGGATCCCAAAACGAGAAGCTCTCAATGCACAGTTGTCGCTGGCCGTCCCTGAAGAGATTCCTTCATCAACGCACGATAAGATGCCCGCGTCAACGCCCGATGTGAGATCTGATTTAGACACATCTGTGTAGACGTGACGAGGGAAGGAGTATGAGTGACGATTATATGTTCAATACGAACAACACAAAGCACATCGCTGATTGTTCGATTGAATTGCATTTTTCTCTTTTTTTTTTTTTTTTTTAGAATGTCTGCATCGTCGGAGTGGAAGCCTAATGAGAAATGGGGGACGCCGGTGAGATGGGAGGACCTTCTGTCATRGAAAACAAGAACGCAAATGAGGGCTGTCGGTGTGCGGGCAATCGACTGAAAGGTTTTGGAGCCCTCGATTGAGTTGTGGTACGACGAGGAGCGCCTACAAGTTTTCAACCTCGCCAAGACAGCGGGGAGTGATGCAAACAACGCAAGGTAAGGCAGTGGCAAGTGGACCAAAGCGTTTTACGGGTTGGGGATAGTTCACATGTGGGGGGAGGGTGGGCGTGAGACATCAGTGGCAT